GCTTGAGCCTAGAAGTTGGAGGTTGCTGTGAGCTGTGATGCCACGGCACTCTACCCAGGGTGACAGCTTGAGGCTCTGTCTCAAAAAAAAAAAAAAATTATCGAGGCTTGGCACCGGTAGTACAGTGGTTAGGGTGCGAACCCCATGCACCCAGGCTGGCGGGTTCAAACCCAGCCCAGACCACCTAAAACAACAATGACAACTGCAACCAAAAAATGGCTGGGTGTTGTGGCAGGAATCTGTAGTCCCAACTACCTTGGAGGCTGAAGCAAGAGAATCGCTTGAGCCCAAGAGTTTGCGGTTGCTGTGAGCTGTGATGCCACAGCACTCTACCGAGGACGACATAGTGACACTATCTCAAATAAATAAATAAATAAATAATTTATTGAGTGCTTACTTTATGTCAAGGCTTAATTCTTCACACATTATGTGGATTTTTTCTCACCGAATACTACTCATAATCCTCTAAAATAGAAGCTTTCCTGCTCAGGAACCCTATTTTGTAGATGGAGGAGGCAAAAAAATGAATAGTGCTTCCATTGATAGGGTAGTAATGAATTTGGAAAAATGACTTTCCTATTCTGGGCCTCAGTATTCTCATCAGAAGTACAGATCATGATACTGCCTCCCAGGATTTATCTGGGCCAGGACATATGTGAATGGAAGTTTCTCATTCTCTGAGGAAAGCATTTTCTGCAGGAAAACACACATTCAAGAACTTTCTCAGAGAATCCTTCCGTAATCACCCTATTTAAAATTCAGTCCCCACCTTGATACTCTTTATGTCCCTTTCAGGCTATATTCTATCACATTTCACTTATGTTTACTGTTTATCTTCCTTCCTCTAAAAGATAAGGTCCGTTAAGAGCAAAGATATTTGGTGCATTCTGTCCTGGCAGTGTCCTTAGTGTCCTAAAAGAAAGCCTGGCACACTAATAAATACGCAATTATTTGCTGAATGAATAGGGTTGTTCCTGAAAAGGTATTTAACAGCTTCGTGGCACCTAGCGAGTGCTCACTCAAAACCGAAACTAATTCCAGACTGTTCTTCCTCTTAGGGACGGGAGGAACTCCCACAGTTAGTTAAATCGGGTAATAGCTAATAATTTGGTATTTCCACAACTTTCTACCACTACAACTCCCAAGAAGATTCTCGACCCATGATCCTTCGTCTCCCACCATGCCCTGCGCGGCGCAGGCGCCGTTACTCCGGTTGGGTCTCACTACACCTCCCCGGAAGCTGTCTGGTCGTTGCTTTGTTTCCGGAAACGGAGCCCCAGGAAGGTGGGACTTAAAGCAGGGAGCGAGCTGTGGGAATTTCAATTGGTCAGAATCTGAGACTGACAGCTGCATTAACCAGTATAAGTAAGATAATGCCAAACGGACCCGCCCATAGACGTAGAAGAAGGGAGGCAGTGGCGGTGGTAGCGGCTGGACATTGCTAAAGAAGCAGCATTGGCCCTACGCCACGCTTACCTTTGACCTCTCCCCTCCCTCCTTCGCCCTTGATTGGAGCTGGTCCGATCCCGGACCCAAACCATGTTCCCTGTGAAGGTGAAAGTGGAGAAATCAGGTGAGAACCCCGAGGTCGGGGACTTGTAGGGAAGCACCCAGCTGTTCAGGGTATGGGAGTCCCGATAGACAAGATTATCGCCAAAAGAGGACTACGTGGCTTCTGCCTGTTGCCCACCTGACTGTCTCAATATCAGGCTTTGAGAGTTTGGTGCCACTTTCATACCTTCCCGGCCTGTGCTGTCAGTAGCCTTGAGATTGAATGGTGGGTGCCTAGGCAGTGTGGTGGGGTTAGACATAGGGATCTCGAGCACGTAACTCTGATAAGGGCTCTTTTCGTGGCTCCACGTCAGTTTCCCCATTTCCATCAGTGGTCATGGTCAAACATTATGCTGTGAGCCTAAGTACAGGGATTCTTTTAATCTTCGCAATCACTATATTCCTATACTCTAGGAATTGGGAATTGGGGTAGATGGAGAAACTGAAGCTCAGAAAGAGGAGGGCATTTTGGGTTAGAGCAGAGCTGATGGGATCCCAGGCTTGGCATAGTAAAGGCAGTGAAAAGGGCACAGAATCCAGACAAAAACAAAATAGTAAAACAGTGTCGACTGTTAGATGGTGTAAGTATTATTAAAGTAAAACAAAACAGGAGAAGTTAAGATATCAGCAGTGGAACAGGGGAGGCAGAGAGATATGAAGATACATGAGGGAACAGTGATTCAGTCAAAGTTGGAAAACTCCATGATTTGAAAGCCTTGCTGGCATGTTCAAGAAACAACAAGGAGGCCAATGTGTCTGGAGCAGGGAGCCCAGGGGGACAAAAATCAGGACCAGAGTGGTCAAGGGAGGGAGGGAGTATGAGGGAGAGGCTCTCAGGAGGCTGAGGGGACAGGCCATGGAGTTGGTGGGCTGGGGTGGAGGAGGGAGAGTGGTATCTATGACAAAGTGCAGGGAGGGAGTGGGGGACAGTGGAGCCACCTTGAGGGAAGAGGGTTAAGTTTAGAGAGACACTAAGGCCAGTGTGGGACTCAGTAGAAAGAACCTGAGAGAGGTCCAAGGACAGGTGTCCAAGAGGTCATGGGATTCCCACGTCTAGGGTTCAGGAGAGAAACTGAACCTGAGGACAGAGTTGTGGACATGATCCATACCCTTGGCCCTGCCCAAGACTCTTTGCTACAATCTCAGTTGCCCCCCAACCTCTGTCCTCACACTGTCTCTCCTCTGAGCCATGTTGGGAATCCCTGTGTCTCCTGATCTCCTCAGGAAGTTCCAGAACTGGCAAGCATGTCCCCAAGTGTCCCTCCAGGCTCTGAGCAATAGGACCAGAACTCATCCTAGTCAGAAGGAGGGGACAACATTCATAACATCACTTCCTTTGGTTCTATGATGAAGGGAGGCAAACACACATGCCGACAGGGCCAGTCAGAGCCTGTGACATGCAGGAAGGTGGGCCTAAATCTCATTTTCAGGGAAGGAAAAGGCAAAAAAGAAGATTTTATGAAATTTTATGAAATCTCCTTATTTTTAAATGTTTTCAGCTCATTCAGATTTAATTCAGATTTAAAATAATACCAAGGGCCTCAGCCAAACACAGCAAGTCTCAGGGTGAAGGGGTGGGGCAGATTCTGTACCTAGTTTGAGCCTCTGCCTTATAAACTTCAGCTTTGGAGCCAGAAAGCCAAGGTTCAAATTCTCAACTCCTCAGTTTTTTCACTGTGTCACTTTGGGCAACTAGCCTAACACTCTGTGCCTAATTTCATCATCTGTAAAATGAGAGTAAAAATCATATCTACTTCTAAGGGTTATTGTTAGAATTCAACATGTTAATATGTGTGATGTGCTTGGAACAAAGCCAAGCACATAGTAAGCACTCTATACATGTTACTTACTATTTTCCCCTCTTGTTAAGAGGTTCATATACGGGGCAGCACCTGTGGCTCAGCGGGTGGGGCACTGGCCCCACATATCGAGGATGGCAGGTTCAAGCCTGGCCCTGGCCAAACTGCAACAAAAAAATAGCTGGGCGTTGTGGTGGGCTACTTGGGAGGCTGAGGCAGGAGAATTGCCTAAGCCTAGGACTTGGTGAGCTGTGTGATGCCATGGCACTCTACCGAGGGCAATAAAGTAAGACTCTGTTTCTACAAAAAAAGAGGTTTATATACAACATAAGCTTAATTTAAACCTTACAACAGCCCTAGCAGGTAGAGGTATCATTCAGAGACCCATTTTCAAGACAAGGAAACAGGCTCAGGAAAAGAAGGTGATTTTCCTTAGTGATCACATGGAACTCCACTCTTGCTCATCAATTCAGTAGTCTCTGCCTGCTACACCCTTTTGTTGTGCCTGAGCCTGGCTGTAAGATTTGTCAGGACAGAAGATGTGCATGCCCTTTTCCGGCCCAGGTAGCTGTCCATCTGCAGGACCTGGGAACTAACTCCTGGTTGGTACCCTCTTCCCCTAGAGTTGGAGATGGCCAAGGCCCGGAATCAACTGGATGCTGTTCTACAGTGTCTGCTGGAGAAGAGTCACATGGACAGGTTGGGCCCTGGTCCAGTGTGGGGTCACAGGGCTGGGGGCCCTGGCAGGTTGGACTCTCTGATCCTGGGCAGGTCTAAGTGGGACCTCAGCGGCTGCCCTGGGGAGGAAGGTACCTGATGGGGAGGCCACTTCATGTTTTCCCACTTGGCCCTTGAAACCCTGAGCCAACTATTCTCTTCTGCTACCAGGGAGCGTCTGGATGAAGAAGCTGGGAAAACCCCCTCAGACTCCCACAATAAGTACGTCTTTTTGACTGGGTCTGGGTCTGAGAGTTTGTGGTGGGTAACTTCTTCCCTCATCCAAGCCCTGACCCCTTCTGCCCTGTGCTTCCTCTGTCTATTCCTAACCACTTGACATATACAAAGACAACGTGCCAAAAGAAGCTTAGGTGCCCTTATAGTTGATACCAAGAACCCCAGGGGTGTAGATGGAACAAGGCCCAAGGGTAGGTGGGTTCACATGGACATCTCAGGCTTGATCACAGGATCTCGGGTACCCTTTGTGGGGTTTGAGCGGGTGGTTATCTGAAAATCGGCCTGCTCATGCACCATCTCTCCCCACAGGGATTGCTCCATTGCAGCCACTGGCAAAAGGTAAGGCATCAGGGGCACTGGCCAACTGACCTGAGGTTCCTACCCCTGCCCTGATACTGACACTCCTCCTTCCCACACAGGCCATCTGCCCGCTTCCCCCACCAGCGGAGGAAGAAAAGGAGAGAGATGGATGACGGGCTGGCTGAGGGAGGGCCACAGAGATCCAGTGAGTAGATGGTGGCACTAGACAGGTGGGCAAGGAGCCAAAAGGTTACATGAAGATTCTCACATATATCCCACTCCCACCACCCCAGACACCTATGTGATCAAGCTGTTTGATCGGAGCGTGGACTTGGCGCAGTTCAGTGAGAACACACCACTGTACCCCATCTGCCGCGCCTGGATGCGCAACAGCCCCACAGTGCGCGAGCGAGAATGCTCACCCAGCTCACCGCTGCCCCCACTGCCTGAAGATGAGGAGGTGGTATGAGTGGCGGGCTCCAGCCCAGCAGCCAGAGAGGGCAATGTGACAGGTGCAGGGGACCTTCCCCACTAAGCTAGTGGGATAGGGTAGGCAGACAGATCTCTGTGTCCCTCAAATGAAGTGTGAATCCCAGGAGGCACACAGATGTCCCCCTTAGTCTGAGAATATGGATAGAGGTTCCTAGGGCAGACATACATGGCCACCTAGCCTCAAGGGAAAGGGAACACAGTTGTCCTAGGCAGACAGACTAATCAGGGGTCCTTGGTTCAGACAATTTTGGCCACCTGGACTGAGGGAGCAGATGGAGACCCTCTAGGTTGGGCAGGGATAGATGGGAGTCTGTAAGTCATCTGACTTCACATGGTAGACAAGGGTCCCCAGGATAGACATGAACTGTCAAGAAAGCACAGGGGTCCTTAGGTGACACAGATGTGACCTCCTAGACAGGATTGCCTTAGATAACCAGATTTGACTTCCTGGGCAGGTGTAGATGAGGAACCCTGGGCTGGACAGAAGACAAGCTCACCAGATCTGACCCTCAGGCCATTGAAGGTGTCTGTCCTTCTGACATGACTCTTGAAAATGCAGGTCTCTTGCCAAGAACCTGAAGTCTCTTATTGCTAGGAAAGGCAGAGAGATGAAATGTGTCCTCCCAGCCCTCTGCTCTAACTCTCTTGGGCCTGGTGTGAGGCCTTTATGTCCCTAGGGTTCAGAGGTCACCAACAGCAAGAGTCGTGATGTGTATAAGCTTCCTCCACCCACAGCCCCCGGCCCACCTGGAGATCCCAGATCCCGCATTCCATCCCCACTACAGCCTGAGACCCAGGGCACCCCTGATGATGAGGTAGGTGTGCAAGGCTGGCCCAGGGTTACAGAGCATATGTTATGGGGTTCAGCCAAGGGCACTCAGCCTGCCTCTCTGTCCATGTAGCCTTCAGAGCCTGAGCCTTCACCCTCCACACTTATCTATCGAAACATGCAGCGTTGGAAACGCATCCGTCAGAGGTGAGCATCCTCTGATCTTTTTGCCCCCCTGTGGACTCTTGCAACTTCTGAGTCTTCCCTCTACCTCCCCAGGTGGAAGGAGGCATCTCACCGGAACCAGCTTCGTTACTCAGAAAGCATGAAGATTCTACGGGAGATGTATGAGCGACAGTAATGCGTCCAGGTCTCCCCACCCCAATAAACACTCCCTGACTCTACACTGGCATCTGTTCGAGCCCATACTTTCTCGCCTAGACATAAAGCAGTTGGCACAGTTCTAGCACATTTATTGGAGGAGTAAGCCTAGCAAAGAGTGGGGGGATGAGGGAGCAGAGAATTCAGAGAGGAAAAAAAGTTAAGAGTGTGGAAGGTGGTTTGCCAAAGATATCTGGTTGGAGACTTAGGACAAAGGAACTGGAGGATTCTGCTTTGAGTTGGGAGGAGGCCTAGGACATCTGTGCAGAGTTGGGGTAGGGGTGGTGCTGGGAGGGTATCTATAATTTGAGGTTGGGGTTCTGGTTGGTCTGGGATAGGTGTCCAAGGGTGGAGGTTTAGAAAAGGGTTCAAGAGTTGGGTGGCTGGCTGTGGTTTCAAGTCAGGAAAGAGCTTGGAAGTGGATTATCTAGTTGCAGGGGAGGGACCCAGAGTCTTGGATGGTCTGTAGTGGAGGTCGTGCAGTCCAGGACATGAGGGGTAGGAGAGGTGATGCCTGACTGGCCTAGGGTGAGCTGGGCTGTTGACACTATAATCTGGTATCAAAATCGGGGAGGGATAGAAACTGTGGGGGGATATCTTCGTAGAGAAGCCAGAATGAAGTAAAGGAAGGAGTCTTGAGTGGGGGACATATGCCAAGAAAGTAGGGTCGGCAGGCTGAAGGTTAGGGTAGTGCTCGTAGTGTCTGGAAGCTAGGGAGGTGTCAGGGCCTGATCCTGGATTGTGTGGGAGGGAGGTGTCAGGGTGCATCTGGCTGGGCGGAGTCAGATCGGCTTTAAAAGAAGGAGCCTGAAGCGACTCCCAGGGTCCAGACATCCCAGACCCCTACTTGGTGGCAGGCTGTGGGGCCTGACCAGACGCTGGTGCGGCCTGGATGGACAGGATGCCCTCAGGGGACAGCGCAGAGGTTACAGCAGCGGGATCCACTCCAGGCGGCAAGCGGTAGCGGCGGTGGAACTCTCGCGCGATGAATCCGTGCTCATCCTGCAGGGGAGAGGCTTGAGCGGCCCCGCCCCTTTCCGTGGTCCCCTCCCCCTGCCCTTGCCACTCGTGGGCGCGTCCTGGCCCCGCCTCCATCTGTTGGCTCACCGGGCGCTCTTCGTGGCGCGCGTGCACTTCCACATGTTCGCCAACCACCTTGACAGCTATTTCCTCCGGGGAGAAGTGCTTCACGTCCAGCAGCACTGAGAAATGACCCGGGTCCGTTGGCACCTGTGCACATCCAGTGCAGGACAGGACTGTCATCTGGCTGGTTGAGGCTTCTGGGTCCCAAGAAGACCCTGCCCTTATTGGTTCTGGTGCTGAGTCCTCTTTCCTACTTGGTATCACCAAAGACCTCTCTGCCCAGAATAACTGTAACCCTTCTCTAACCCAGAGTTATGAGACTCCCTTCCCCTTCAAGGTCAGGGACCTCTCCTCACAGGGTGAGTAAGCCTGCCTCTCCTCCCCTGTCCCCCCTCCCCCCAGTGTCAAGGACTCCACAGTTACTTTGTTCCCTAGGACACTGATTCATTCCCCAGCTCCCTCACCCTCTGAGAACCTGAGGCCCTTATTCTTCACCCTACCCCCAACCAGAAATCACCAGGATGCCTCATCCCCTAGTCTATAGAACCCTCTTTTTACTCTCCCACTCAAGTCACAGGACTTCCTGCACTCTCCGCAGCTATTGGTACCCTTCCTCCACTTCACAGTGGCCAGGTCCCTTTCTCAAGTTGCAGGACCCCTTCTTCTTCCCTCTTCCCCTCCAGGAGACTTGGGTTGACCACAGTCTTCAAACTCTTCCCCAAGACTAATAACACTAATGCCACTACTACCACCTTTTTCAAAATTCCCTGAGTCACCAGCCTCCTACAGAATCACCAGGACTCCTCCTCAAAGTGATCGCCCCCACTCTGTCAATGACTCAGCCCTTCGACTCCCTTCTTAGCTAGAGACACCACCCCCCCCCCAGAGCGACAGGGACTTCCCTACTGCTTCAGTAACCGGCAGCTAAGATTCCAAACTCAGGAACTCCGGAAGCCCCTCTCTGTGCCCAGATTTTCCACCCCTCTGAAAGTCAACGGACATTCCCTCACCCCCCCGCTTCAGGTTGACCCAGAGCCCCAGCACTGGAAGTAGTCGAGTTATCCCCTCCCTAGGCCTGGCACCTGGGCGACCGGCAGCGCCACGCTGGGTGCTCGCAGGTAGTAAGGGGCGAGTGTGGTGGGACAGAGCGCAGCCAACTCCGCCTCTAGCAGCCCCTCGCCAAAGCGCTGGTCAAAAAGGCGTCCGGGCGGCGAAAATCCGGGCAACGGGGCCGAGGCTCGGCGCAGCCAAGACTGCTGTACAGGCACCGGGATCTCCATCCTGCTCTGCCGCCGCGGTCCTGGGCTTTGCAGTGCTCCTGCCTGCGCAGCTGCCGATTTATAGTACGCCTTATGCCGGCCCCTCAGATGCTGCCCGGGGACACTGGGACCGTGGCCAGACATGGCCATTAATAGAGCCTTATATAGAAACCCCAACAATGACTTGGCCATTTATTAAGCGCCTGCTGGATGCGTGGCAAAGGCTTCCAGGAAGATGTCATTAAAGATTCCCTAATTTCCTGAAGGAGGAACTAAGGTTGAGAGGGCAGAGCCTTGCAGGTGTGGAGAGCACAGAGCAACAATTGGGACCCAGGGCCTGAGAGGCCCACTGAAGTTTCCAGTCCCTTTAATCTACGTCCTTCCCAATCTGGTAGCTCTGAGGATGACGCAGATGGAGGGCTTAGGAGCAGATTTCTGGAAAATGCAGTAGACGGGCCAGGCTGTCAGGAGGACACAGAACAGACCCTACCCTCCCTCATCCACAGCCAGGCCCTGGGCCCAGTCCCCCAGCAGGCCAGGCCTAATTCTGTGCCTCTGACTCAGCCTCGGGTGCACAGCAGCCAGCGAGAATATGAACAGTCCAGGCTGGCTCCCCGAGGGCCGAGCACTGGGGCCCGAAATAGCTCATTTTGATCCCACTACCTCGGCCAAGAGCCCAGGCCTGGCAACTGATGGAATCAGCTGCTCCTGCAGCAAGAGGGAAGTGGTTAGATGACCATCAGGACGGGCTGACTAGCCCAACCAATGGAGGAATGGCGGCTGGAGAGGGGATAGAGTCTCCCACTGCCCGTGCAACAGAAAGAATGGTAGTTAGACTGGAGAACACACTTAGGTAGAAGGAGATTGGTGAGACAGTGAGACTGAAGGAAAGCAAGGGTGCTTAAAATCACCTCTAGACCGCAAGCCCAGCCTCAGGTTCTTTCTGTTGGTCCACGGTCTTGCCAATTATTACCGCTGCACGCTACAGGTTCTCCAATCAACACTGTCTGTTAAGCAGGCTGGCGATGCAGCCAGTAGTGAGACACCTCCCTTTGGCCACTTTCCAGATACTTTTATTTTCTTCTCTCTGATTGGCCCGCTCTCTTCCGGAGCAGGAACTCCCAGAGGGGGGCGGGGCTAATAGACCATTGCTAAGCGACAAAGATGTGCATTGGGGTTTGTCCAGTCTGTGAGCCGAGCAAGCGGAAGTGCTGAAGTAGCTGCGGGATGAACTGCAGGTGAGGCCTATCCCTCGTCCCAGCACCACCAGAGGCGTGGGGAGGACCAAGGCAACACAGCCTAAGGACGAGTTTGCTAGAGTCTGGAGTCTCTCTGGCTCAACTACACTGGAACTACAATTCCCAAGATGTTCCACAGCCTTTGGCCGCTGCAGCCTTAGATTTTACCATCCTAGGGCTCTCCTACACGTCTTATGTTCCTCTCTGAGTGGTCCCAACGGAGTCTTTCCTTTAGAGATATCCAAGGGCAAGTTGGGAATTGAGTTTTTAAATTTTGGAATTGCTCCCAGACACCCATGGGTGTTGTCTTTGAACTGGCTCAGGCGGAGCCCAGGGAATCATGGGAATTGTAGTCCATCTGCGTGTCTCCTAGTGCCCCCAAGGGTTTGAGAGGTATCCCGCGATAAAGTCTAGTCCTGGTTCCTAAGCTGAGCTAAACTTCAAAGTCACCTGGGATGCTATGACAGTTGCCTAGCCCCACTTCCAGATATTCTGATTCTGTTGGTGTGTGGTGGGTGCCACGCATCTGTAATTTTAAAAGGCCCCTCCTACACTGACTTCAGGGTTGAAAAGCACCAGCTACCAGTTCCTGGGATCTTCTCCATTTAGACCAGTGGTTCTCAACCTCCCTAATGCAGCAAGCCTTTAATACAGTTCCTTTGGGTCGTGACCCACAGGTTGAGAACCGCTGGTTTAGACTGTTCCTAGGGCTCATGGGAATCACAACTTCCACCATGGTTATCTGTGCAGTGGTGCATCATGGGAATTCACAGGAATTGTCTGGTTCTGCCCCCTTCTCCTTTCTCCTCCCCAGGGTTGTAATAATCTCACTCTGCCTGCCAACCTCCCTTTCCCCTTGCAGCCTGCCAGTTTTCTCCATCCAAGATAGAACTTTTGGAGATGCTTCCCTGGGTCAAAGCTACAAGTGGCCATCCCGAAGCCAGAGCTGGTGCAATAAGGTGAGGAAACCTGAGTGTGCTGACCATCATCCCAATAGCAAGGGAGTGACCACTAGAGGGTAAGAAGACATGTGATCTGAGAGGTTCCCTCTTCCCCTCTCATGGCTCTGCCTTTGTCTAATCTCTACCACCTGAATCCCCCATCACAGCCCCACTTTAGATTGTTACCATTGTTGACTGCATTTCCTCCTCTCTGGACTGAGACTTCATGTGTATCTTCATTCCCCAACAGGAATGACCCCTCAGACCTTACTTTTTCTTCCTGTGTTCTCCCCCATCCTAGACCCTGAGCCCATCCAGATCCCAGAGATCCAGGCTCCCACAAGCTCCCAAAGCTCTAGCTACAGGTCCCAACTCCCTTGAGCTCTTTGAGGAGTCTTGGCCATCCAGTTCAGGGACCCCTTCCCCACTCAGCACCACTGAGGAACACATGGGGGCTTCCCCACCACCCACTCTGATTGACAGCGGGGACTCTGTGGTGGCCAAGTAAGTACCGTAGCCCTGGGGGGAAAGAAATTTGGGTTAGAGGAAGGGAAAAGGAAGGCCTTAATAATCATCACACCCAGAGTGTTATGCAGCAGTCTGAGGAGCAGGCATTTCATGTGTGTTATTAAGAGCGCTGGAGCTACACTGCCTGACTTCAAATCCCAGCTCTCACTTTCTCTCTGTATGATCTTGGCCTCAGTTGTTTGTTTGTTTGTTTGTTTTTCTTTAAACTGAGGATATAAATACACATATCCCCTAGGGCTGTTTTGAACTTTCAATGAATTACTATATGTAATGATCTCTATCAATTCCTCTTGCATAGTGAGCACTAGATTTATAGGATACAGGTTCAGCTGCTATAACAAAAAGTTATATATTAATTATGGCTTAAACAAGATAGGACTTATTTCTCCCTTACCTTAGTCCAGGCAGAAGCAACCTAGTTGAGGATTTCAGGGACACAGGCTCCTTCTGTCTGGTTGCAGTCCCATCCTTTTTTTTTTGTTTGTTTTTTGAGACAGGAGCCTCAAGCTGTTCCCCTGGGTAGAATGCTGTGGCATCTCAGCTCACAGCAACCTCCCACTCCTGGGCTCAAGCGAGTCTCCTGCCTCCGCCTCCCAAGTAGCTGGGACCATAGGCGCCCGCCACAATGCCCAGCTCTTTTTTTTGGTTGCAGCTGTCATTGTTGTTTGGTGGGCCCGGGCTGGATTCGAACCCACCACCTGGGGTGTACGTGGCTGGCACCTTAGCCACTTGAGCCACAGGCGCTGAGCCTGCAGTCCCATCCTTAAGTGTTGTTCTTTCTCTCACAGACCAAAAAGGCTCCCAACCACATAGACTTTCCAGAATCACATCTCTTTGTACCCTATTTGTCAAGAAAGTAGTCACATGGCCACTAGCCCCCAGGGCATCTGATAAATGGAATCTACAAAAGAGTGGCTGTGTGCCCAGCTAAAAATTACATTACTGTATAAGCAAGGAAAACAACTTAAGGGAGAACTACCAGCTTCTGCCATGGTGCTTGATAAACATTGCCTATTGTGATTATTATTGTTATTATTCATCTTTTCTCACTCCACTCACCTTCCATCCCCTGACGTTTATAGGTATATAAACAGGTTCCGCCAGGCTCAGCCCACAAGCCGAGAAGAGCGCCAGCCTGCAGGCCCAAGCCCAGCTGACTTTTGGTGGCTGCGGTCTGAGTCTCCAGACCCCAGCAGTGAACTTGCAGCAGGTACCTCCTTCGAGCCCACTCACTGCAACCTCTTACCATAGCCTAAAACCTTTCCTGATCAATTCCCCCAGCAGTCACTCCACATGGCCCTAATAACTCAATTGGAGCTTCTCGGCAGAAGCCAAGAAACGAGAAGGAAGACCCCACAAAGAAGTCCCAACTCCTGTGGCCAATAAATCCCAAGCTGTAGCTCCCCTTCAGGAAATACATCAGGTAACATCCTTCATTTACTCCTTTGTGTACCTAAACTACAGCACCAGCCCTGTGTTAGAATTAGAGCTGATGCTCCCATTCAGAGAAGCTTAAATAGAAAAGGAATATTGCTAGCTGATGTAATTGAGAAAGCCAGAGTGGATGCTTTCAGGAATGGCTGGGTTCAGGTGTTTGAACCTTGTTGAGCCTAACTCTTGGGCTCAATCTCTGTAGGCAAGATGCTCCCAGTGGCTCTAGGCTCCCATAATACTAATTCAACTACTCCAGAAGAAAGTGGGAACTTTTCTAATAGCTCCATCCAAAGCCTCAGGGCGCACTCTCATTCACTCATCCTTGAGCCAATCACTGTGAACCAGAAGATAGAACTGTCAGCCCTGGTTAGGAAGGTGGGATCTATCCTTTTCCAACAATGATTTGCACATGAAAGGTACTTCTAAAGCAGCCGGTTCTCAGCCTATGGGTCCTGACCCCTTTGTAACAATGAAAATACATCCTGCATATCAGATATTTACATTACTATTCATAACAGTAGCAAAATTACAGTTATGAAGTAGCAATGAAAATAATTTTTTGGCTGGGGGTCACCACAACACGAGGAACTGTATTAAAGGGTCACGGCATTAGGAGGCATTAGAAAGGTTGAGAACCACTGTAGGGAAAACTGGGTCACTTCCCTGAGGAGGAGCAGATTCAAAACTGGCCTGTGAGGGCCAGGAAGGGTTGAGACCTACACTCCAGGCCCTCTTTCCAGAGGCCCTTTCCCAGCAGCCTTGGGAGTGGGGACTGGCCTCTGACCCTCTCACCCTGCAGAACCTCAACACATGGAACTCATCCCTAGTGGACCTGGAGATGCTGAGCCTTCAAAGCAGAGCTTCCAGGCTGCTCAAACGCAGGTGCCTCCTCTGTCACCCTTCCCACTGCTATTGCTCCAGATGGCTCTCTGCCTCTAAGACCTCCATCGCCTCACGTTTGGCTTCTCCCTGCAGCAAGGCCTCCGTGTCTTCCTCCTCATCCCTCAGCCCCAGTGATGCCAGCACTTCCTCATTCCCCATCAGCTCAGATGGCCTCTCTCCCTCCTCCATGAATTTCACCCCTGATCCCAGCAAGGGCTCTGGCCCCAGGGCACCTGGTAAGTGCTGGGAAGTAAGGATTGAAGGCAACCTGGGTGTGAGTCCCAGCTCTGCCACTTAACCAGCTATGTGACTTTGGGCCTCTCTGGGATTTGCATCCCCAGCTGTAAAACAGAGTTAATATCATGTTCCTCACCTCTCTTGATGGTGTTGTGAAGATTAAATGAGTTAGTGAATACACTGAAAGCCCCTAGCACAGTTCTTTTTTTGGAGACAGAGTGTCACTATCTCACCCTTGGTAGAGTGTCATGGTGTCACAGCTCACAGCAATCTCCAACTCTTGGGCTTAAGCGATTCCCTTGCCTCAGCCTCTCAAGTAGCTGGGACTACAGGCGCCTGCCACAACACCCAGCTATTTTTTGTTGTAGTTGTCGTTTAGCAGGCTCAGGCCTCATTGGAACCCGCCAGCCCCAGTGTATGTGGCTGGCACCTTAACCACTGTGCTACGGGCGCCGGGCCAACCTTGCACAGTTCTATTATGAGTAGCTATCATGAGTATAACAGGTGTACTACTTTCTCTGCAATTCTGAACACAAAGTTCAAGAACAGAAAGTTTGGCATCACCCTGATTTGACAGCAAAATCTGACCTAAAGAACATGAGGCTATTTGTAATGCACGCTGATCTCATTTAAGGTGAATATTCTTACTTTTTGCTGTGTATGAATATCTATTAATTGAGCCGTATGAAATTTTTGATTCTATGAGTGAAAATGGTCAAATATCGGCAATTTCACATGGTTCAACTAAACATTAATGTGTTTGAGTCTGGTATTTTATTCATGGTGTCAGACCCATGTCACCATTGTCCATACCATGTAACTTTGCTAAAACATGCAAACTATTGAATTCTGAGGCTTCAGAGATGGGATTAAGGACCTAGGTTATTGTTACTGCTCAACTGACCATGACTGATGAAATTACTCTCTGAGTGATGGCAACTGTCTGTTCACCTCATTGGACTGACAACAGCTCCTGGCTCGGGTCTTAGTCATTGCTGTGTCCCCAGCACAGGGCCGTGCACTCAGATGGAGCACAATAAACAGTTCATTTTGCATTCATGCCACAAATATTGATTGTACCAGGCCCTGTTCTTGACACTAGACATATGGTAATGAACAAGGCAGACAATGAACTTTGTAGAGTGGCATTGTGGAGGGAGAGAGAAACAATTAAAAAGCTGAGAAGTTATGTTAGAAAGTGGTAAGTGCAGGCGGTGCCTTTGGCTCAGTGAGTAGGGTGCTGGCCCCATATACTGAGGGTGGCAGGTTCAAACCCAGCCCCAGCCAAACTGCAACAAAAAATAGCTAGGCATTGTGGCAGGCACCTGTGGGCACCTGTAGTCCCAGCTACTCCAGAGGCTGAGGCAGAAGAATAGCCTAAGCTCAGGAGTTGGAAGTTGCTGTGAGCTGTGATGCCACAGCACACTACCAAAGGTGACAAAAAAAAAAAAAAAAGATTCTTGAGAGTTGCCAGGTACAGTGGCTCACTCCTGTAACCCCAACACTCTGGGAGGCTGAGACAGGTGGATTGCCTGAGCTGAGGAGTTCAAGACCAGCCTGAGCAAGAGCAAGACCTCATCTGTAAAAAGTAGCCAAGCTTTGTGGCAGGTGCCTATAGTCCCAATTACTTGGGAGGCTGAGGCAAGAGGATCACTTGAGCCCAAGAGTTTGAGGTTGCTGTGTGCTAATGATGCTGTGGCACTCTACCTAGGGCCACAGAGTGAGACTCCTGTCTCAAAAAAAAATTTAAAAAAAAAAAAGGAAGAAAGTGGTAAGTGCTAAGGAGAAAAAAGAAACAAGACAGAGGATAGGGAAGGGTAGGAACTGGGGCTGTTGCCATTTTGGATAGGGTAATCAGGAAAGGTCTCACTAACCATTTGGGCAGAAGTCTGAAGACTGTGAGAGAAGGCACCTCAGAATACATGAAGGAAGATCATTCCAGACTTTGCCTTTTACCAGGAGAGAGGTGCTGCTGGATGCTTAACCCTGAGGGCCCTAACTCAGGTATTCACATTCTCCTTCCAACTGAGAGTGGAGAACGGGTTGAGAGGACAGGACAGCAAAGAGACCAGGAAGAAAGGAGTCTGCTGTGATAGTGCCAGGGGAGTGAGTGGAGCTGGAGCAGGGTCAGGCCCATGAGTAGCAGTGTGGGGAGGGTCAGATTCTAGAAAATATGTTTTGTTCATTGCTATAACTCCAATGTCCAGAACAGTGTCTGACACATAGTAAGAGCTCCATAAATATCTTTTGAATGAATGAATTGAATGAAAACAGGTTGAGAAACCCAGGAGTGCCATCTCCTTTGACTTTCCTCCCTTCCCCACTTCCCACTGCAGAGAGGAGTTGGGACATTAGCTGGAGAACCTGTCTGGATAACCCTCGGGTACAGTCCAAGTGTGTGTGTGCACAGGTTGATCACCCTGCCCCTTCCTTTGACTTTCCCCACAGCAGCCCCGGCCTCGGCTCCCACCCCTGCTTCAGCCCCTGCCTCCTCTCGGGCACCCCTTCAGCCTGAGGATGACATTCTATATCAATGGCGGCAGCGGCGGAAGCTTGAACAGGCTCAAGGAGGCAAGGGTGATGGAACCTGGGTGCTGTCCCGGACACCTACCTTCACCTCTCCTGTGAGTCAGGGCAGGAAGGAGCCTGAGGGGAGTTAAAGAAAAGGGGATCCTGAGGAGGACTGAGGACCCTCGATTCACTTTCTCAAATCTCTCTTCCTATCTGTCTACAGATTTCTTCTACCCCTGTGGAGACTCTTGGTTCTTTGGGAACTCAGCCTAGCCGCATACCACTGTGGGGCAGTGCAGTTCAGCCTGGTCCCCCAGAGGCCTTCCATGTGGAGAGACCTCCTTTTCCCTCAGTGTCCTCTCCACACTTCTTCTGGGGCCCCAACCCCCACGGATTCTTCTGGGCCCCACAGCCCAGTCCCTGGATGTCTCTTGTGGCTGTTCCTCCCCCACAGCCTGCCTCTAACCTGGTGCCCCTGGCAGGCACCCCAGTACCCCTGGCCTCCACAGCTCCCTTGGCCTCCACACCAGTTCTGATGCCCCCAACAGTTCCCCAAGCCTCCACTCCAGCTCCAATGGCCTCCACCCCAGCTCCCTTCCCTGTGCTACCAGCCTCTACCCCGGCTCCCCTGGCCTCTACCCTCACACCCCCTGATGCCCTCCAGGGTCCACCCACCCCTGAGCCATGCAGTTCTGCCCAGCCCAAGAGACTGGGTCCCAAGCTTCGGAAGGACAGAGCCCAGAGCAAGGCTGCTGAGCGAATGACCATAGCTGGCGAGGAGCCTGGCCCACAGCTCAGGGGCGCTCTGGGCCAGGTAGTGACAGCTCGGCTGTTCCCTGACAGCCTGGAAGATACACTCCCTCACCTGAAGGGCCCGCCTCTACCTAAGACTAAACCTCAGAAAGTCAAGGCCATACACCCCCAAACCAAGATTACTCCCCACTCAGAGGTCGTGCCACCTCTATCTGAATCGCGGTGTCAATTTATAGCCAAGGCTGTGTCACCCCCAACAGCGTCAGGGCTTTGGAAGAACAAAACCACTCCTGAAGCTGAGTATCAGCTGCCGCAGGTCCCACCCGCTCCAACTGAGGAGCCACCCACAGCGGCTTTGACCACGCCCCCACTAACTGCTGGCCACACCCCCTCAGGAGACCTGCTAGCCCAGGCAGGCCGGCTTCTGGAGGCTGCTGAAGGTAAGCCAAGTGCTGGTGCCTGTCCCGGTTTCAGTGACAGCCTGGCTTCCTGAGAGTCTGGTCCCATGAAGCTCATTCATTTCTCTCCAGACTCTGATGGCAGCGAGTTCCAGGATGACCCTGTGCTGCAGATGCTAAGAGCCCAAAGGGCAGAGCTGCGTGAGGAGAAAAGGTGACCCTCCATCTCCAGGGTCTGGGATACTGGGCCCCTGAATTCTCTGACTCCTATTAGGTGCCCACCCTTGCTGAGCCCCTTTCCCAGAATTCCATCTATAGCTCTAGACCCTAATTCTGAGCACATACCCCAGCCTCTGCTTTTCTGGCCTTCCTCCAGGAAAGTGGATGCCCGATTATCCTTCCTGTTGAACCCTGTGGAAGACCCCGAATCCTGGTCCCCTTCAGCCAGGTCACCACCTGGGTCTCCAAGGAGGCTGCTGTGAAGGGAAGGAAGCCTCCCTTGAAGCCAGATGACTTTGATTGCATAAACTATTTTGTCCCATAAAACATTTTTTTTTCCAGGTTACAGGTCATCTCTGAGAAAAGAGTTGTTTTGGAAAGGCCAAGGGTCATGCCAACTTAAGGAATTCCTTCCCTTCATCTTGTGGCTCTTTCCTGACCACTGAAGCAAAATTTCTTTTCTGGTTTCATCTTCCTTAGGGTGGGGAGGGAGTGGGCTTTCAGGCAAGCCTAGGGTGCATTTTCTCAGATTCCCAACTCAGGGGTCCTGTCTCAGATGTGACCAAAGGGAGTGTCCTCTAGGAATGAAGCTACTAGAATCATTAGTGTTGGACAATGGTCAGTCTTCAGACCACATCCTACTTGTGCCAGCAGTAGTATTTGGTGCAACTGATCATTCCCTCTTTGAAATGCTTTCTTCTGCTTCCAGAACACCTATTCTTATGTTTCTGGTCTTGCCTCTTCTTTGCCCCAGCATGTCAGCTCTGGCCTGTCCCAGGGCCCTGGCTTTCACTTCTCTGTCTACACATACTCCCAGGTACTCTTGTCTAGGTCTAGGCTAGCGATTTCAATCTAGCCACTAAACCTTGTGTTTCTACATTATCCTTTGTCATGTTTGTCTCACCCGAAAGTCTAAGAGATGTCTCAAATTCTATACTTCCTAAACTGAGCTCCTGATCTTCCCCTTGAACTTGCTCCTCCCTCACGTTTTTTTACCTCTGTCCTTTCCTGCTCAGGCCAAAAGCCTTATGATTTTTTTTTACTTCTATCTTTCCCTTCCACCCACAGTTGGGACCAGCAAATCCTGCCTTCTCCACCTTTAAAATCTATCCAGAATTCAACTCCTTCCACTTTCACTATCCTCACCTCACTCTAGGCCAGGTATCCTCAAACTACAGCCCCACGGGCCACATGCGGCCTGCCTAAGATGTTTATCCGGCCCACTGGGTATTTCTGCTGCTGCTGCCTGTCCTGCTTAGCAGCCGACTCGGCCTGGGGCCCGGGGCCCGCAGTCTGGCCCTCCAATAATCTAAGGGACAGTGAACTGGCCCCCTGTTTAAAAAGTTTGAGGACACTTGCTCTAGGCTATCACCACCTCTTATCTGGACTATTGAAATTTTACTGTTTCTGTAAAAATATCTGTATATTCTTTTTTTTTGGCTGGGGCTAGGTTTGAACTCGCCACCTCTGGCATATGGGGCTGGCACCCTACCCCTTTGAGCCACAGGTGCCACCCTCTGTATATTCTTTGATACACTTACCATCAACAGGAAGGAAGTCCTTCCTCTTGAAACTGGGCCCCTCAACAAGTAGAAAGCAGAGGAAGTAGTGCAACTTAACTTCCAAAGTTCAGTTAGAACAGAGGATACAGTCTACCTGGTTTCCCTTCTCTCTCTTTCTCTCTTATCTCTCTTTCTCTCTCTCTGACACATGCCTCAGAGCCATGTAAAAGAAGCAGTTGCCATGCTAACTGGGTGGCTTCGGTTACAAAGGTATATTCACTTACCAAATTCAGTGAAATTTGTGAATTTTATTATATGTAAGGTTTGCCTCAAAAGAGAAGTAAATATTGGACTCTAATTAAAGATACATACAACTGGCTTGGTACCTGTAGCTCAGCAGCTAGGGCACCAGGCACATACACTGGAGCTGGAGGTTCAAACCCAGCCCAGGCCTGCCAAACAACATTGATAATTACAACAAAAAAAATAGCTGGGCGTTGTGGCAGGCACCTGTAGTCCCAGCTACTTGGGAGGCTGAGGCAAGAGAATTGCTTAAGCCCAAGTTTGAGGTTGCTGTGAGCTGTGACACCATGGCACGCTACCCAGGGGGACAAAATGAGACTGTCTCAAAAAAATATATATATATATACACTGAAATATTTAAGGGACAGTATACTGATTGCTGCAATTTATGTTGAAATGGTTCTGAAGATTAGTTAGATTAATGGATAAGTAGAGTAACAGGTAGAAGTAACATAAGGCTAATGTAGTAAAATGTTAACGGTAGGATCTAAGTGGTGGATATATGGGTGTCTAAAATTTTTCAACTTTGCTGTATGTTAGGAACTTTTCTTAATAAAAATTATGATGAATGTTTGATAAGGATTGTTTTGATACCTATATTTATTAAAAAGAGTTAGGGTGGGTTTTCACCTGTATGTCACAGACATCATACATATTTGTTTTTGCCCTTTTTGAACAAACTATACATTTAAATGAAATCAACAAGAAATAGCTGTTTAGATATGAGAAATGAAAGATGTTTATAGTTACATAATCTGATCTAGTTGGGGCATGGATGGAGTCTAGAAGGATTCCTGAGGAAATTACACTTAAAACGATTAACATGACAAAGGGGCATCCTAATTGCTATTACTGGGTCACAAACCACCCCTAAAACTTAATGGCATAGAATATTCATTTTATTGGGTGGCGTTGGTGGTTCAAAGGAGTAGGACACTGGCCCCATATACTGGAGGTGGTGGGTTCAAAACTGGCCCTGGCCAAAAACTGAAAAAAAAAAAAAATTCATTTTATTATGTTCAAGAATTCTGTGAGTCAGAAATTTGGACAAGGCATAGTTGGGGCAGTTTGTCTGCTCCATGAGGTCTGAGAGTTCAAGTAGAAGACTCAAAGGTGATGACAGCTGTGAGGAGGAATCCTCTGGAACTTCTTCACTCACATTCTGACTCCAGGGCTGAAATGACTAAAAGGCAGGGCTTGGTAAGAAAGCCTATACATCCCTCCATTAGTTTGGGCTTCCTCAAAGCACAAACCTAGTGACAGTTCTCATGTGATGCCTCATAGCTCTATAGCTGGTCATTCCAGTGGACAAGAAGAACATTGAACAAGACGCTAATTGCTGGCTCAGTACCATAGCTCAGTGGTTAGGGCACTGGCCACATATACCGTGGGTTGGAACCCAGCTCGGGCCAGCTAAACAACAATGACAACTGCAACAAAACAATAACCAGGCGTTGTGGTGGGTGTCTAAAGTTTCAGCTACTTGGGAGGCTGAGGCAAGAGAATCTTTTTTTTTTTTGAGACAGAGCCTCAAGCTAGCCCCCTGGGTAGAGTGCTGTGGCATCACAGCTCACAGCTCACAGCAACCTCCAACTCCTGGGCTCAAGCAAGTCTCCTGCCACCTTAGATGTATGTGGCTGGTGCCTTAGCCACTTGACCCACAGGCGCAGAGCCAAGAGAATCTCTTAAGCCCAAGAGATGGAGGTTGCTGTGAGCTGTGATGCTACAGCACTCTACCACGGGTGATAAAGTGAGATTGTCTTTAAAAAAAAATAAACTGGTGGTAGGGGGCAGTGCCCATAGCTCAGGGGTATGGCACCAGCCACGTACACTAAGCTGGTGCGTTTGAACCTGGCCCAGGCCAGCTAAAACAATGACAACTGCAACAACAACAACAACAAAATAGCTGGGCATTGTGGTGGGTGCCTGTAGTCCCAGCTACTTGGGAGGCTGAGGCAAGAGAATCACTTGAGCCAAAGTGTTTGAGGTTGCTGTGAGTTGTGATGACACAGCACTCTACCCCAGGTGACAGCTTGAGACTCCGTCTAAAAAAACACAAAAAAACCTGGTGGTAGGGGTTGATGGGGGGAAATACTCTAGCCAGAGGTAACATTTTGTGGGAAATCCTTATCATGGGACTGAGGTTTGTCCAATAAGTTGAAATAAATAAGTATACATTTATCTCTCTCAGAGCACTTCCTTTCCCCAATCCCTGCTTAATTTTTCCACAGAGCTGATCATGTTCTAAATATTCTATATTTTAATATATGCATTTTATTTATTGTCTTCTCCCCCATAGCTTTTTTTTTTTTTTTGAGACAGAGTCTCACTTTATAGCCCTTGGTAGAGTGCTGTGGCATCACAGTTCACAGCAACCTCCAGCTCTTGGACTTAGGGGATTGTCTTGCCTTAGCCTCCCAAGTAGCTGGGACTACAGGTGCCTGCCACAATGCCCAGCTGTTTTTTTGTTGCAGTTTGGCCAGGGACTGGGTTCAAACCCGCCACCCTCAGCATATGGGGCCAGCACCCTATTCACTGAGCCACAAGTGGCCCCCCTAGCTTTGGGGCTCCAATGTGGGTACTATTTTTCCCTGTTTTTGTTATCTATGTATCCACAAATTAAGTGATCAAAGTTTTTGAATGAATGAATGGACCCAGAGAGTATCCTCTGAGGTGAGGACCTCGTTGAGGGTATGACCAATGAAAAGAGGGCATTGTTACAGTGTTTTCTGGTCATGTTCTCATACATAGCAGGATGACTGAGATTAGCTTTATGGGAAGCATGACTATGTTCTGGCATTATGAACTAAACCTTTTCCTGGGAAAAACGAGTCAAGGTCCATTATAAGATGTAGAAGAGGAGACAAAGAAAATGTCCAGATTGGTGCAGGCTCATGCCTGTAATCCTAGCATTTCAGGAGGCCAAGGTGCGAGGATTGCTTGAGGCCAAGAGTTTAAGACCAGCCTGGACAATATAGCAACATCCAGGTTCTACCAAAAATTTAAACATTAGGGTACAGTGGTGGGCTCCATAGTCCCAGCTATTTGGGAGGCTGACTCAAGAGGATAGCTTGAGCCCTTGAGTTTGAGGATGCAGTGAGCTATGGTGACACCACTGCACTCTAGTCTGAGCAACAGAGTGAGACCCTGTTCCTAAGGCCAGGCCAAATTGCAGAGACCCTCGGGCTGTGTCCCAGGGTGCTTGTCTGAGGCAATGAAAAAAATATCTCAGCATTCTGAGGGCAGGATCAGAGTCAGAAATGACAAGGTGCTGGACCAGGCTTGGTGGCTCACGCCTGTAATCCTAGCACTCTGGGAGGCCAAAGACGGTGGATTGCGTCTCACCTCCTCCCAGTGCGCCCCACCCCCTACCCCTCCCGAGCCCGGGGCCTGTGCAGCCCCCCCCCCCATCCTTTTGTAGTGGTCCTTTTCGTACCCGGCCCGGTCCTGAATTGGAGCCCATACGTCGACCCTGCCCCCTCAACGTGCATCCCCATCCACGCCCTGAATGGGGATGACAGCAGCTGAGGATCCGGGCTTGGGAGAAGGTGGGGCTGGTCTAGGGAAAGACCCGCGCCACTTGGGTGGCCCCCCCAGGGCCGCACCAGCCCCCATCCCAGCGTCTTCCTTAGCATCCTTATCCCACCCTCCTGAGCTTAGGAGTTGGAGACCAACCTGAGCAAGAGCGAGAAAACATTTCTAAAAATACCTGGGTGTTGTGGTGGGAGCCTGCGGTCCTAGCTACTCGGGAGGCTGAGCCCAAGTTTGAGGTTGCTGTGAACTATGATGCCACGACACTGTACCGAGGGCGACAAAGTGAGACTGTCTCAAACAAAAAAAAAAAAAAAGAAAGAAAGAAAGAAAGAAAAGGAATGGAAAGGAAAGGAGAGAAATGACAAGGTGGTATTATAAGACGAAGTCTTTGAAAAGCATCTTGAGGAATGGAGCAAAGCCCTGAGGCCATGGGAAAATCCTCTTAAGAATGTCAGAGGAGTAATTACCGAGCGTGGACAAAGGGGAGGGTCCATTGCTGAGTGTTAGAAGTGTCGGAAGCAAAGCATAAAGAACCTGGGGGTGTGTCTCAGGAAGGGGATAACAGCCAATGAAAAGCAGGCATGGGCGTGGGGCTGTCAAATTGGGGGGGCGGGACTGAAGCAATAGAACCCGGGATGGGGCCTAAAGTGAAGCCAATGAAAAGCCTCAGGTGGGCGGGGCGCCCTCCTAAGGCCGAGAGTGGAGCCAATAAGAAGCGGCGCCGCGTCCCCTCTGCTCCCCGCCCCTGTGGGGCGCGCGCCGGAGCCACCGGCAGCCGTTAGGGGCGGGGCCATCAGCCGCCCGCGCGCTGCTCTCGCCCTCCCCTTTGTGTCGCCACGGCGGCGGCGGCGGCGCTGGCGGCGGCGACGAGGATGAGCGAGGGGTCGAACGCGGCCGGGGCCTGAGGAGGCTACGCGACCATGGTGGTGAGGGAACCCATGCGGCCGTCAGTCGGTCGGTCCGCGTGTCAGTCTGTCCGCGCTCAGCCCCGCCCAGTGCGCCCCACCCCCTGCCCCTCCCGAGCCCAGGGCCTGTGCAGCCCCCGACCCTTTTGTAGTGGTCCTTTTCGTACCCGGCCCGGTCCTGAATTGGAGCCCATACGTCGACCCCGCCCCCTCAACGTGTATCCCCATCCACGCCCTGAATAGGGATGACAGCGCCTGAGAATCCGGGCTTGGGAGAAGGTGGGGCTGGTCTAGGGAAAGACCCGCGCCACTTGGGTGGCCCCCTCAGGGCTTCCTGGGTTCTTCACCAGCCCCCATCCCAGCGTCTTCCTTAGCATCCTTATCCCACCCTCATCCCTCCCCGGTGTAGCCGCCGCCGCCTCCTCCCAACAGCCCCTTTCTTATTCCCGAGCCCCACCCCCACCCAGCTCCTTCCTCAGCCTGACCCTTTTCTTCTCCTTCTCCTTCGTTTTTTTTACCCCATCCTAGTTCTCAAAAGGCACCCACCACCCCCTCCACTCTGAACCTTTACCCCAATCTCTCCAGCCACTCTCCTCCTTACTGTATCCTAACAAACCAGCACTGTGTCTGCACTTGGTCCTTGGGTCCTCTCCATCTTTTCGTGTTCATCCCCTTCCCCGCCATCTCCCTTTCCCAACATACTGCTCCCGCTCATTCATCCATTCATTCCCTCATTCCCTCGTCATTCATCCATTCATTCCCTCATTCCCTCATTTAATAAGCATTCACTGAGACCACCTCTGTGCAGGCCCTGTGCTCCAGGCACAGAGAGAGTCAAATCCCATCGTGTCTTGGGGAGCTTCCCCTGGAGGGGAAGAGCACCTGAGGTTAAGACCTGAGAGTGAACTCCGTGTTGCAAGGATATGGAGGAGGAAGAAGCTAGAGCCCAGTCTGGGCAAATCCCTCCTTGTCTGGCTATGGCTTAATTTATTCATCAGATTGTACCAGCCCCTGCTGTGTGACAGGTCTGGCCCTGGGAATCCAGGATCCTCCTGAGAGAAATCAGGCACAATCCCATCTGTGTAGCCCACCAGCTATGTGCCCAGCTCTGTGTTAGGCATGCCAGGGGCTCTCAGCCTGTGGCCCTGATTATCAGAAGATCACAGTCCAGTGAGGAAGATAGACTTGTCACCAAGACATTGACTTCTCAGAATGCTGAAGGCTGTAAAGGGGGAAGCTCAGGTAGAGACATGGAGCCTGAGATAGGGGAACCTCAGGGAGATGGAGAGAGTCCAGCACAGATACCTGGCACAGTCTGAAGGGTCTGAAAGTGAGAACTTTCTGGAGGGTGGCACAAGTGAGTTGAGACCTGAAAGGTGAGGATGAACGAACCTAGCAGAAGGGTGAGGACATGTATTTCAGGCCAACAGAATAGCCTTTGCAAAGGCCAAGAAGGAAGCAAAAAGATGGTGTTTAGACTCATAGAAATTCAAGAGCTCTGAGAGCAGGAGCACTAAGGAGAGATGGGACCAGGGAAGTAAAGAGAAAACAGCTCAGGGAAGCCTTGATTATCAGACCAAAGAATTCTGACTTTGTCTTGAAGACAAGGAGCTATTGAAGGTCCAGAATCTATGGAGAAACTGGGCAAATTTGTGTTTTGTGAAATGATTCTGCCTCTTGAGAAGAAGCTAGCAGTGGGAAGGGAGAGGTTGGAAGCAGAAAGGCTGATGAGATAAGAGCTGTGATTGTCCTGGAAGTGGTAGGAGATAACTGTACACTGTAGGGGCTACAGAGGGTTTTAAACAGGGAGGGATGGGATCAGAATGCTCTCTCTCCTGTCGCCTGTCTCACCCTTGGTCCCAGTCCACCACCCCAGACCACACACGAAGAAGCAGGCCTGTCCTAAGCCCAGCCCTCACATCTCCCTGACCTACTCTCCTACTTCATGCTCAGAGCAGTGTGTGGAGCAACCCAGCCTCTACACCCAGGCCGGCAGATAACAATGCTCTTGTTGTCTCTCTGCTCCCATCTCTGGGGGCCTCTGATTCTCTTCTTCGATCTACAGGCTCGCAGCACTGACAGCCTGGATGGCCCAGGAGAGGGCTCAGTGCAGCCCTTACCTCCCACTGGGGGGCCCAATGTGAAGGGGAAGCCTGGGAAGAGGTGAGGGGTGAAGGAGGGAAGGGCTCAGTTTAGGAGCGTGGGGTAAGGGGGTGGGAGATGGGCCTTGTGGAGCCACTGGTAATGTGTCACTTGTCTCCTAGGCTCTCAGCTCCTCGAGGTCCCTTCCCCCGGCTGGCTGATTGTGCCCATTTTCACTATGAGAATGTTGACTTTGGCCACATTCAGGTAGGAGTGCTTTATACCCAGGTGGAAAGGTGAGATCCTCCCCACCTCTGCAAAAATATCAGATGCTTTACGCCTGAAATTTGTCCCTATGACTGGCTTTTCTACCCATCTGAGCAGTCAGTAGCAAAAGTTGCAAGGGCTGGAGCGATGAGGAGAGCTGCTCTTTCATTCATCCATTTGCTTTTGTATTCATTCAATAACCTTTTGTTAGGTGTCAGCTCTATGCCAGAGTCTTGTACTCTGATGAACATATCACCAGGTCTGTTCTTGGGGAGGTATAGGAGAGGGACCCAAATCCATCCCTAGATAGTGTCAGCCTAGAAAGGTGAGGACTGGGACAAAAGTGAAGCTCTCACCTGAGCTTTTGTTTCTTTCTGCAGCTCCTGCTATCTCCAGACCGTGAAGGTCCTAGCTTCTCTGGAGAGAATGAGCTGGTATTTGGGGTACAGGTGACGTGTCAGGTGAGGCTACCCCTACTTCTTATCTAGGCTGAGTAACTGGCCACCATAGTCCTCAGCACAGTGTAATGGAACTACTGCTCCCTTTTGTCCTTCCTGCTCCCACAGGGCCGTTCTTGGCCAGTTCTCCGGAGTTACGATGACTTTCGTTCCCTGGATGCTCACCTCCACCGGTGCATATTTGACCGGAGGTTTTCTTGCCTTCCAGAGCTTCCCCCACCCCCAGAGGGTGCTAGGGCTGCCCAGGTACTCTGCTTATTGTCTCAGCCTGCTCAGCCATCAGCATGTCCTCATCAGCAATTTGTGAAACTGTCAAAGTAAGGGGGAATCGATAAACATTTAAACATCAGTGTGGCCCAAGTCCCAACCAATCCAAATGGAGAAGCATTAGAACAACAGCAGGATTCTACTACATTTAGCTCTATTTACTTTTAGGATCATTAAGAGGTCCAGAGGGTTCCCTGGGAGGGTCAGCATGGCTATACCAGTTGGGTTACTCAGAAGATTGGCACAGCCTAGTTTGCCAATTGGTAGGCAACTACAGTAGAACCTCTGAAGTTGACCACCTCCTTCAGTTGACCTAATTTTTATAGACCCAACATGCATCACAGTAAGTAGGCCTAGTTCCTATCAGTATAGTAGGCCTAGTTCCTTATGTTAACCACCTCTGTATGTTGACCAGTCTGTTACACTCCCTTGGTCAATTTACGGAGGTTCTATTATATTTCTATTATACTTAACAGCCTAAGCAGCACCTATGCATTCAGGAGGAATTTCAGCCCTGCCCAGAGATGAGCTAGGGTGGTATGGGAGGGCAGTGGGCTCCTCAAGGTCCACTCACAGGAGTCCACCATAACAACCTGCCCCCAGATGCTGGTACCACTGCTGCTGCAGTACCTGGAGACCTTGTCAGGACTGGTGGACAGTAACCTCAACTGTGGGCCTGTACTCACCTGGATGGAGGTGGGCCTGGGCAGTGGGCTTGGAGTTCAGAGTGGATGGGAGTGTCTGAGGGACAAGAACTGCCTGGGAGTATGTGTGGGCACAGAAAAGAAAGGGGCCATAGATGTTTTAGCATCTGTGTGGGCGCATGCCTGTGAGAGAAAGTGTGTGTTAGGGGGGTGGCTGGCAGATGTTGAATGGTGGGGATGTAAGGATTTAAAGGTGTATCAGAAATGGGTTTGGCTATAGCTCCCAGAACACCCCACTATAGAATGGCCTAGTCCAGAAGGTTTTTTTTTTTTTTTTTGCGACAAAGTCTCACTATGTCACCCTTGGTTGAGTGCTATGGCATCACAGCTCACAGCAACCTCAAACTCTTGGGCTTAAGTGATTCTCTTGCCTCAGCCTCCCGAGTAGCTGGGACTACAGGCCCCTGCCACAACGCCTGGCCATTTTTTGGTTGTGGTGGTCATTGTGGTTTAGCAGGTCCAGGCTGGGCTCAAACCCGCCAACCCTAGTATATGTGGTGGTGCCCTACCCACTGAGCTACAGGCGCCACCTCAGAGGGTGTTAGATAGCAAACATGCAGTGTCTGCCATAGAGGATGAAGGTACAGGGTGGCTGGGGAAGACTTAGGGGCAGGAGAGTTCTAGGACTTGTGAGGGGAAAGAAAGTTTGTTTTAGAGGGGGCAGGAATTTAGGTGTTTGACTAATGGCTCTGAGCAATAGAAGGTGAGGGACAGGCAGTAGCTTCATTGGGCATGGAAGAACTTTTCTGCCTTATTAACCCATTCTGGCCTCTCTTTGCCACATCCTGCTTCCCCTTCAGCTGGACAATCATGGCCGGCGACTGCTCCTCAGTGAGGAGGCCTCACTTAACATCCCTGCGGTGGCCGCTGCTCATGTGGTGAAACGGTACACAGCCCAGGCACCAGATGAGCTATCATTCGAGGTAAGGCTGTAGGGGAACAGACTCCATCTGGGCTCTCCATTTCCTCTGCCCCTCTGATCCCCTCCTTCCAACTGCCCACTCCCAGGTGGGAGACATCGTCTCAGTGATTGACATGCCACCCACGGAGGATCGCAGCTGGTGGCGGGGCAAACGTGGCTTCCAGGTGAGCCCGGCTGGGGGTTGGAAGCAGGGCTAGGGCATTGTGCTAGCATGGGCAGCCCAACCACTGACCACGACCCTTCCTCAGGTCGGTTTCTTCCCCAGTGAGTGTGTGGAACTCTTCACTGAGCGGCCAGGTCCAGGCCTAAAGGCTGGTAAGTGCCACGGGTGGGAGGCCCTCCTGCAGCTTTCCCCTTCCATCCGTCCTTCCCACCCATTGTTCACCCTGCAGATTCTGATGGTCCTTCATGTGGCATCCCGGCTCCCCAGGGTATCTCATCTCTGACCTCAGGTAATACAAACAAGGGGTCAGGTCCTTACCTCCCTCCCCCTAGGCTAATGGCTGCACTCACCCCATGTGGCCTGTCTTTGTCACAGCTGTGCCTCGGCCACGTGGGAAACTGGCTGGCCTCCTCCGCACTTTCATGCGCTCCCGCCCTTCTCGGCAGCGCCTTCGGCAGCGGGGAATCCTACGGCAGAGGGTGTTTGGCTGCGACCTTGGAGAGCACCTCAGCAACTCAGGCCAGGACGGTAAGTCCTGAGGCACTCAAAGACCTCACCTTCCCGCACAGGAGGCAGCCTGCCCATCCCTGACCTGCTGCTTCCTCCCAGTGCCCCAGGTGCTGCGCTGCTGCTCCGAGTTTATCGAGGCCCACGGGGTGGTGGATGGAATCTACCGGCTCTCAGGCGTGTCTTCCAACATCCAGAGGCTGCGGTGAGGGCCCTCCACCAACCCCTTTTGTCCACACGCATTAGTGAGCACCATCTCTATTCCAGCCATGCGCCCTGTGCTAGGGACACAGTTATTGGGAATTAGTGGGGCAGAGAGTTGGGGTAGACTTCCTTGAGGAGGTGACTCCCCAGCTAAGTAAGGCCTGAAAAGTGAGAGTAGAGTTAGAAGTTAGTGCGCCAAGCAGAGGGGTCAAGCTTCACCGAGCACTTGCTGCATACCAAGCACTGTTCTAGGCCCTGGGCACATAGCAATGAATGAGAGAACCAGAACCCCCTGCCTTCATGGAACTCACATGCTAGAGGGAGAGACCAACAAGGAAATATCAGTTTACCAGAAGATGGCAAGTGCTGTGGGGAAAATAGGCTGGGGAAAGGGACCAGAACAGTAAGCTGGGAAGGGTCGCTACAGTTCTAAGTAGCCTGGCCAGATGGGCCTGTGGGGAGAGCTGTGCAGGAGTGGAGACAGAAGGCCCTGTGGGAAAGCTGTGGAGGGAGCAGCCAGGGCAAAGGGGAAAGTGGCAGGAGATGATGTCCAAGAAGTCATCAGGGCAGCACATGCAGAGTCTTTTTATTAGGATTTTGGCTTTTACTCCAAGTGAGGAGGGTTCTGAGCCATGGATGGATAGTCTGGAGGTGAGAAGGAATGAGGCAGGAGCAAGGGGCTAAACAGAAGGCTGAGAGGTGACAGCTGAAGCCAGGGAAAGTACCGAGAGAGGTGTGAGGTTGTGGTGGGCGGGACTTTTGGCCACAAGCAGCAGGGCCCCACCAGAGAGTTGGGGGTAGGGAAATGCTGGAATTTTACCCACATTTTCCAGTGACCTCTTAAAGCCAGGTGATTGATGCCACTTCATGGTAGGAACATGTTCACACTCTAGAGTCAGTCTTGGGTAGCTATAGGCAGAGGTGTCTCCTGCCTGAGCCTCAGTGTCTTCTGTCTGTGCCACACAGTGTTGTTGGGGGAATTCAGTAAGTTTCTGTCTCTGAAGAGCCCAGCGCAGGACCTGGGGAAGAGGGTCACACCCATCTGTGGACATTGGGGGAAAGAGTAAGGGGAACTTGGCTGGGTGAGCCAGCTCTGACCTGACTCTTCCTCCTCCTTGCCATGTGGTCTCAGGCATGAGTTTGACAGTGAGAGGATCCCTGAACTGTCTGGCCCTGCCTTCCTGCAGGACATCCATAGTGTGTCCTCCCTCTGCAAGCTCTACTTCCGAGAGCTGCCAAACCCCTTGCTCACCTACCAGCTCTATGGGAAGTTCAGTGTGAGTCAGGGAGCTGGCCAGGTGGGAGGGTGGCTGGGGCACATCTGGCCCAGCCCTCATCATGCCTGTCCGCCATCTCAGGAGGCCATGTCAGTGCCTGGGGAAGAGGAACGTCTGGTACGGGTCCACGATGTCATCCAACAGCTGCCGCCACCACATTATAGGTAAACCAGGAAGGGC